ATTTATTTATTTATTTATGCATGCCACATCACCAACATTTTTTCTAAACCTTTTTTATTTTTGTTTGTTTATTTATTTACTTACTTATGCCTTGGTTATGGTGTTATTTTTTATTTATTTAGATAAAATAATATAGCATTTTAATACTGGCCAATTATTGGTTATCAGATATAACATTATCTATATATATCAGCCTGATTTTTATTACTAGTGCATTTCTATTCTTATTCTTTAAATCTGCATTGTTTGAGATGATTTGTATTCTGTGAGAAAATCACCATGTTGCTTTACCCAACAGATTGAAGAGCTGAAGATCCTGAAGAATGAACTGGTATCTTTTTTCATGGAGCACAGACATGCAGCAGAAAACTAAGTATCCATGTATGTTATTTATTTGTTGAATCTATTCCATTTTAAAGGGTCACTGAGAGAGTAGAAAATGGCCATTACAAACTAAATGAAAACTAAACTGTTGATCATGTTAGCATCTACCAAATCACTCTATGATCCGTGGAGGTGGTTGGATTCGGAGAGAAAGAGAAGGAAACCTATGGAGATGATCAATCCAGTTTAGCCCCAGAGACTCAGGATACAGAAACGAAGACTTCCTCGTATGGGGACGTGTCTGAGCTCATCTTCCTCCCCGCCTCGCCCGTCCTCGCTAAAGCCACCAGGATAACAGACGTCCGGGCATTCACGTCTTCCATCAATAACACACCCCTACCATAAGATCCTCCAGTGAGACTGAAGTTCCCTGAAGAGCCACGGCTTCCTCGAGATGGAACTCTGCAAAAACACGTTCAGTTGTCTCTGTCGTCATCTGTTACATAAAGAATACAAGTGGGTCAGAACTGTTTTTCATGTATATTAGAGGACACAGATCATTCAAATATATAGACTGAATATCAGATTTTATTGACAATAAGTGGTTGCTGGAAATTAAAATTTTAAGTTAAGAATGTATTTTATCTTAAATTGTCATTGTGAATAAAAATATGGAGATGTGGACACAAAGCCTTACTTCAAATTTGGATGATATAGTATTTAGTATGTTTTATCCAAATGTCTAATCATTAAATGTTCATTTTAATAATAAAAACTGTAATTAGAAACCATAATATGCTTTCTAATTACATTTTGTAAAGAATGAAAGCAGAAACTTTAAAACCATGCTAACAGTGTTATTTTTGTATCATTTATATTGTATTTATTAATATTTTGAATTATTTCAAAATAGTTCATAATAGTGTTATGAACTATTATTATTAAATAATGTTAGTGGAGCTTTTATTTTTATATTTTCATGTTAATTTAAGTTTAACTTAGTAATTTTGTTACGTGCTGTTTATTCATTTTTGGGGGTTTATATTTTT